TTCTCGATTTTCATGAGTTGATTGGCGCGGAAGAGTTCCTGACAAACAATTACCGAAGACTTCAGAGTCTGATACTTTTGTCTCTCAGTATTCATGAGTCTCTTTGCGCGGAACAGCTGTTGACAAACAATTGCTAAAGACCTTAGTGTTTGATACTTTTGTCTCTCAATCTTCATGAGACTCTTCGCGCGGAACATCTGTTGACAAACAATTACCGAAGACCTCAGTGTTTGATACTTTTGTGTCTCAACTCTCATGAGTTTCTTCGCGCGGAACATCTGTTGACAAACAATTACCGAAGATCTCAGTGTTTGATACTTTTGTTTCTCAACTCTCATGAGATGGTTGGCGCGGAAGAGTCGCTGACAAACGATTACTGAAGTTCTTAGTGTTTGATACTTTTGTTTCTCAATTTTCATGAGTTGATTGGCGCGGAAGAGTCGCTGACAAACGATTACTGAAGTTCTTAGTGTTTGATACTTTTGTGTCTCAACTCTCATGAGTCTCTTCGCGCGGAACATCTGTTGACAAACAATTGCTGAAGACCTCAGTGTTTGATACTTTTGTCTCTCAATCCTCATGAGACGATTGACGCGGAAAACCCGCTGACAAACAATTACCGAAGACTTCAGTGTTTGATAATTTTGTTTCTCAACTCTCATGAGATGGTTGGCGCGGAAGAGTCGCTGACAAACGATTGCTAAAGTTCTCAGTGTTTGATACTTTTGTTTCTCGATTTTCATGAGTTGATTGGCGCGGAAGAGTTCCTGACAAACAATTACCGAAGACTTCAGAGTCTGATACTTTTGTCTCTCAGTATTCATGAGTCTCGTAATAAAATACCTGTATTTTGATGGCAGCCCTTCTCTCTCGTTTGGCTCTAAAGAGTCTTTGAATGAAAATCGTGGACTTCTTGAGGTCGTGAAAGCGATGCCTCTCAGCCCTCATGAGAAGACTCGCTTCAAAACGTATGCAATAAGAACTCATTGAAGACAATAAGTTTTGTAATTCAATCAAACTTTCATTACTTTTGTTAGTGAAATATTTGTAATAATGAAATCACTTTTATAAAAGACCTTTAAGTTACTGCAATCAAAAAGTTGAATGTATCAAAAATGACTTACTATATGCCCCATGCAATGCGATTCTGTGCTTATAAAGGGCGTTACTATTCAATCACAAAAATGTTGTGTTTCATGTGATGTCAGACTTATTATTAGTTCATTTTTTACCTTTGTGATTATTTGTTATTTTTAAAACTTATCAAAAGTTCATTTATGTTGATATGAATGTTGCAGTTATTGATTTATAAGCCTAAAATAAAACAGTTAGAGTGCATACTACGGTAATAATAATCTTTTATTACTCATAGAATACTGATTTATCTAATGAAAGAAAAACTGAATACAAAAATAGTAATTTGATATTTAAATCAGATAAACAAAAACATTATAATATGCTTCAGAATTGACTCAATTGTTTAGACTAAAGCTCTTGAGGTGAGGAATAATAGA